AACTAAGGGAGGAAGACCTGTTCCTCTTGAATGTGGGTAGTGCCAGCCTACAGTCTGGAGACCAGGAGGGCTAAAAGAAAAAGAGAAAGCCAGCTAGTTTAGTCATTCTTTCTCTGTTTCCGGCTGTCATGCAGCATGCTGCTCTGCTCCACCATCCTCTCAGACTAAGATGAGCTGAAAATTCTGAAACTGAGCCACAATAGATATTTCCTCCTTTAATTTGTTTTGCTCAGGAATTTTGTCACTGTGGTAAAAAACAAAAGACAAAAAAAAAAAGTATAGCACTCCTATGAATATATAAGAAATTGACTATTTGATTTTTAGAATCAACAGGTGATGTATTTGCAATCCATGAAGGAAGAAAATTATATCACAAACTCACCAAATGTATTTATTGTTGCAATAATAAGTGAAAAAATAGCTGGAAGAAAAATACTATTTTTTGTCCATTCAGATAGGAAAAAATAGATATGATATTATAAATTGGTAGGCATTTTGAAAAGAATACTCATGCCAGATGAATAAGAATATAAAATTCAATAATTGTAAAGGGAGATTTTGAAAAAAATGTATATATGGAAAAAGCAAAATACAAATGAATAATTCCACATCTATTCTATAAATATTTTTGTTTCTACTTCTTGCAACTCTATTCTATATTTTTTGCTTAAGTGCATAAACAACTCCAAAATTACGAGTGCAGGGTTGTCTTTAAGTGAGAAAATATTTAAATGTACATTAATGCCTAGCAATAGTTGAAAGGATAACTTAATTTTGATGTATTCAACTTATTCAAAAATCAAATTAATCCATATGAACCACAGAGTGGTAAGTAGATTATTATTATTATATGATGATTATTATTATATATAATTATATGTATTCTATATTATATATAATTAGTATATATTATTATTATTATATAATTATTGTTACCATATAAAGGGTGGTAAGTATATTACTTCAGATCAATCTTCCCAGTAAAATAATAATAAAATCTGAGCTGAGTACATATGTGTGTGTACATATATTATGACTTATATAAAGACTTAGAATCATAGAGTGAGCTGGGATCCTCCCTGCGGTGAGCCTAATATCTGATTCAGCTATTCCTTTTGACCCACATTCTGATACCACAGAGTTTACTAAGTCACAAAGATGCTGAACAAAGTTCACAGATGACTCATTGGCAAGAAAGACAAAATTGGAATTCAGGGTCTGTAAATGAAGAAGGAGCTTCTGAACACCCTAAACTGGGATCCACACCCCCTGCAAAAATTTATAGCCTAGGAATAAAGGTGAGCCAAAGGTAGACTCACCTTCATACACACATACATACACAAACACACACACACACACTGAAGAACAGGTTCATATCAACTCAATCCCTCACTGGATTATGGTGCTCATTGTTATCACAACCGCATGCCAAAGGTAAATGAAAAATCAATCCATTTTGTAGGAATTTTTCATACACATATGCTGGTCTTGGACCTTGAACTCTGGGCCTGGGCACCATCCTTAAGCATTTTTGCTCAAGGCTAGCACTCTACCACTCAAGCTACAACACCACTTTCAGCTTTTTCTGTGATTAACTGGAGAGAGGAGTCTCATAGACTTTCCTGCCCAGACTGGTTTTGAACTGTGATCCTCAGATCTCAATCTCCTAAGTAGCTAGGATTCCAGGTATGAACCACCAGTGCCCAGCCACATATGTAATATTTAAGCAAATATAGCCAAACATGTGAAAGAAAAGAATTAACTAAAAAATCTTGGGGGAAGACAGTTAATAGAAATAGGCCCACAGAAGACATCTATAGGTATTATTGCTCTTGAACACAGCCTCTACATTAACTATATTATACCCAAGAGATCTAATACAAAATAGGGGGTCTGGGTATAGCTCAGTGGCAGAGTGCCTAGTATGTGTGAGGACCTGAATGTAATCTCTAGCACCATAAAAATAAGTAGATGGGTAGATAGACAGACAGAGAGACAGACAGATAGATGCAAATAAAATAAATTTTATATTAAAAATTATGAAATTAAGAATTCAGTATATATTTTAACTGCCAATTAGATATAATTGAAGAGCAGATTATTAATAGAAGGTAGAGCAGACAGACACAAATTTTAACATGAAAATATGAAAAGATAGAAAATGTGGGAAAGAGGTTAAGAGATGTAAAATGTGCTGAAAATGTGAACATATAACAACATACTTAAATGTCTTTTCACAATTGCATATCAAAATCATAAGCATGCTGAAATTAAGGGAATGTGGTATTGCAGAAGATAAAAATGTCAATGGAGTAAGGTAGAGAATCTAGAAATCTACCCACTGACAGTTGACTAATGATAAAGGAATGGTAGAAAGGGAGGTCTTTTCAATAAAACAATGGGAAGGGATAGACTTCTTAACAAAAGGCTTTGGGAAGGTTGGATATCTACATGAAAAAGTTAATATTTATCCTAGCCACAGTATACACAAAAAATTAGGTAGACTGTAGAGATACCTGCAAGTTACAATAAGACTTGTATAGGTAAATAATAGTTTTATCATCTTGGAACTAGGAAAAAATTCTCAAATAGGACACAAAAATCAATAACCAATGCTAGGCACCAGAAGCTCATACCTATAATCCTAGCTAGTAAGGAAGCTGAGATCTGAGAATCAAGGCTTAAAGTTAGCCCAGCAAACAAATCTGAGAGATTCTTCCTTCCAGTTAACCAGCAAAAAGCTGGAAGTGGAGGTGCGGCTCAAGTGATAGAGAACCAGTCATGATGGAAAAAGTGAAGTGGGAACACAAGGTCCTTCAACCCCAGTACCATCACACATGCACAAAACCAATCACCATGAAAAAGAATGGATAAATGTACCTATATTACAATTCAGAAATTAGGTTCTTTTATTTCATTAAGACAAAAAAACACAAAATGAGAGAAGTGTATATATCTGAAATTTCAACAGAAGACTTAGGTCCAGAATTTGTAAAGTACTCTACAAATCACTAAGAGAAAAGAAGATAATATGATTTAAAAAGGGAGGAGGATTTAGACAATCACTTCACAAGAAAAGATATCCAAATGGTCAATAAACAGGCGAAAAAAGTACAGTCATGCTAATACAAAAGGGTTAACACCACATACCTATCAGCATGGGAGAGGCTAATAAAAATAGCAATACCAGCTGGGTACTGGTGGTTCATGCTTATTATCTTAGCTACTTAGGAGGCTGAGATCTAAGGATTGCAGTTCAAAGCCAGCCCAGGCAGGGAAATCTGTGAGTCTCATCTCCAGTTAACTACCAAAAATCTGAAAATGGTGCTGTGGCTGAAAGTCCACCAGCCTTGAACACAAAAGCTCAGGGACAGCATGGAGCCCGAAGTTCAAGCCCCAGGATTGGCACACAGAAAAGAGCAATACCAAATGTTGGTAAGGAAACCCCTATACATTGCTGGTTGGAGTGTAAAATGGCCCATTAATTTTGCAAATCAGATGGACAAGGACTACTAAAACTATTGTTCAAAATTTTTTACTTCTAGGAAATACCCTACAGAAATAGGAGCAATTGCTGGACATGGTAATGTAGTCATAGTCCCAGTGCTTGGGAAGGAGGTATGAAGATCACAAGTTCAAGACCAGCCTGGACTACATAGGGAGACCCTGTTTCAATAAACAGAAAAGAAAGAATGAAAGAAGGAAGGAAAGGAAAGAGGAAAAAGAAAAAAGAAAGAAATTGATACAAGTATATAGTAAAAGACATGTTGAAATTTTTTCATAATAGCAATATTCCTAACAGTTCCAATCTGAAAACTCAAATATCCATCAACAGTAGAAGTTAATAAATTCATTGTGGATCACTTCACAAGAATGAAACCCAAATGAACTAATACCATATAGAGAAATGAAGATGAATCTTACAAACAAAATACTGGGTAAAAGAAGCTAGATATAGAGAGTGTGTTGTATGAGTCTATTTACATACATCTCCAAACAGGCAAAACTAACACAGTGCTAAAGGTGTGATGATGGTTGTCCTCCATACAGAGGCTGTGGGGTTGCTGGAGAGGGTGAAATGGTCTGCTTCTGACTTTTGATGGACACACAGGAATATTCATTCTGTGTTAATTCTCTGAATTCAAGTAACATAACTATAATAAGCACCTAAACGAAATGCTTCTTTCTGTACCTATATTATGTTTCAACACAAGGGCTTATCAAATATAATCTATGTATACTGACATGAGCAATGTGTCTAAAACATTAAATTTAAAAATGCTGATTATCATAAAGTGTGTCCCAGGACTTTTTAGTAAGCTTCTCAGAATATTCTAATGAACTGCCAAATTTTTTCCTTCCTTCCTTCCTTCCTTCCTTCCTTCCTTCCTTCCTTCCTTCCTTCCTTCCTTCCTTCCTTCCTTCCTTCCTTCCTTCCTTCCTTCTTTCCTCTCCCTCTTTTTCTCTCTTTCTTTTCTCCTTGTTTTTGTGTGTTTGCAGGTAATGGAGCTTGAACTAAGGGCCTGGATACTCTCCCTTAACTTTATCTGCTCAAGGCTGGCACTCTACTCCATGAGCCATACCTCTGCCTCAGTTTTTTGTTTGTTTGCATTTTTGCTAGTTAATTGGAAATATGAGTCTCACAAGCTTTTCTACTTGGGCTGGCTTCAAATCATGATCTTGGATTTCAGCCTCTGAGCCACTAGGATTTTAAGCATGAGCCATCAATGCCTGGAAAAACTTACAATCTACCTTCACCACTAGCCTTCTCCTCATTCTGCTTTCTTTTCCAAATGACTAGGGTTGTTTCTACTCACTCAAGGCCCTATATTGACTTTTTCTTTGCTTCTTTCCACTAAAGTCCTGTATAAAACTATTCACCACTTTCCAAATTCATCCAGCCTCCTCCCTGTGCAAATGAAAATGTGACCATACTCTGCAATCCAGTTAGTGTTTATTCAACCTTCTCTTGGAAATGTCTGGCCCTGAAGTCTTCTCACCTTCTGCTTGGTCATGTCTAAGAGACCCACGGAGTATCTGTCACAGTTGAGGAAGGCGCGGACTGTGTACAGGGCTTTGTGGAACTGTCTCTCAATGTCCGTGAGCTCTTCAAAGACTTTGCTCCCAGACCACAATAGTATCTGAAGATATACAAAAACATATTCTGAGTTTTTGAGGCACAAAGGAGTGCTTCCCTTAGCTAGAGAACAATAGGTCTATGAAGTTCTCTAGTTTACTTCACTTCATTGTTGCCACAATCCAGAGAAACAGATTGACATTACACCCATTTTATAGCTGGAGAAACTGAAGTTAAGTAAGGGGCAGCAAAATTTGCCAGTTTATATTGGGTCCAACTCTTTCCACTTCTTTTACCTCATACACAGTGAATAACTACAATAACAGCAAGGGACTGGAGATGTAGCTCAGTGGAGAAGAGACCTCCACAGGGGGGAGAGAACCTCTTGCCTAGCATACACAAGGTCCTGGGTTTGATCCCCAGCACAACAAAAAACATAAAAAACAAATATAATTGAACCCAATTGCCCTACAAACATCATCTCATTTATTATTGGTATTATTGATGGTTCCATAAATTCTCCCCCTGTGTCAAATGGGAAGACCAAAACTGAAGACACTCCCTGACGTGCCCATGATCTAAGACTTACTTAATGAGCAGGAATTTGAATGCAAGCTGTTTGATTTGAAAATATATGCATATGACCCCCGGGATGGCATTATAAACATTTACCCAATACCTTATAAGACTGAGGATGTTAGCCAGTGACTGGACAGTGGTCCCCAGGCACCTTCATTTCTACCTATCCTGCCAGCCCTGCCCACAGCCAAGCTAGAATAAGACATCCCATGGGCTAAGATGCTTACCTGGCCACGTCGAGTTTCACAGTTGTGCAGGTAACTCAGATGGAAGACCTTCATGATTAGATTTAAAAAATTGAGGTACTTGAGAAGAACCTACAAATCAAACCGCACAGGGAAAGCTGATCAAAATTCTCTTCTCCAGCCACTCTACCCTCAGCAGATGTCTGAATATTTCATAAGCTTCATCAGAGACAGCTTGAGTAGAGGAATCAGAAACTATAAACTCATAAAATGTTGCCTTATGAATGGAAACTCACAGAATCTAGAATGGTGATGTATTAACAGGATGTTTTAATGTTTTTTAAGAAAAAAAAAAGGGCAGGTCGGGGCTAGTGGCTCATGCCTATAATCCTGACTACCCAGGAGGCTGAGTTCTGAGAATCTCAGTTTAAAGGCAGCCTGGACAGACAAATCCATGAGACTCTTATCTTCTATTAACCAGCAAAAAACCAGAATCAGAGGAGTGGCTCAATTTGTAGAGGACCTGTTATGAGTAGAAAAAGTTGAACAAAGTGTCACTTGAAGCCTGAGTTCAAGCTCTAATACTGCCACGAAAAAAGTAAAATAAAATAAAGCTAGTATTTACTGAACTTAATGTTCCTGTGGCAATTCAGTTATGTATAGTATGTGAGTACCACAAGTAACTCTTGGGCAGATATTATCAAGTCACCCTTAATATAAAGGTAAGAAAACAGATTCAGAGAAATCGAACAGCAAGATATTGTAAGAGCCTGAAAAGTTGTACCTTCATTTCTGGCTCTAAAACCCAATGTCAGGACAATTATCCTATCTTGCCTCCCTCAGAGAGTCCCAGATGAGCCTTTTGCCTTACAGATGGGCCAAATAGCAAGTTTGGAGGGATTCCATAAGTTAGGAGAATGTGTTAGCAAGACCACCTCAGCAGGTTCTAAGTCAATCTTACCTCTTCATCAGCCTTTGTGAAGTGGGGCGCATCTACTTTATTCACAGCCATGATTACAGCTACCACATCCTTCCCATTCATTATGGGGCAAGCCAAGATGTTTTTGGTCTGGTAGTCAGTGAGGTTGTCCACAAAGTCACAGAAATGGTCATCCTGATGGGAGACGGAAACAAGTAAGGGTTGGCAAATGAAGAGCAAGGATAATTAACTAGCCTAGAGTCCCTTGCCCATCAGGAAATGGGGACCCCTTTCTCTCTCTCTCTCTCTCTCTCTCTCTCTCTCTCTCTCTCTCTCTCTCTCATCTTCACCAAGGGCAAGGCATCCACAGATCATTTCTTTCTTGGAAGCCTCCAAAATCCAGTGGAAGAAGAAGGCTTTTGAGGGAACCCTAACGGTGGAAGAGAGGAGATAGGCAAAGTGCTGTGGGAGTCACAGAGGGAGCAGGGAGGTGAGGGTGGAATTGACTGGAGAGGAAGGTTTGGTAGGCTTTGATGAGCTTGTGACAATGAAGTCCAAAGATAAGAGGGAGTTGGTGTGAGTGATCATGATCGCTGCTAGCAGGCATTGTGCTTGGCATTTTACCTGCCTCCTTTCATATTAATCCTCCCAGGAACCTCTGAGATATGTACCAATAGCCTATCTTACAGAAGGAGGAACTATAACTCAAGGTTAATATTGTTAATATTGTCAATATTGTGTGTGTGTGTGTGTGTGTGTGTGTGTGTGTGTGTGTGTGTAAGAGAGAGAAAGAGGAAGAGTTGGTGATATTGGGGTTTGAACTCAGGGCCTTTCACCTGCCAGACAAGTGTTCTACCACTGGAGCTAAAACTCCAGCCCTTTTGACTTTAGTTACTTTTCAGATAGAATCTCATACTTCTTGCTTGAGCCAGCCTAGACAGCAGTCTTCCTATCTGTGCCTCTGAGATTATAGGCAACTAGTACTCGAGGTCTGAACCACTTCACCTGGGAATGTATGACTGTAAATCCTATTCTCAGCTCTTTTGTCTCTCATAAAAGCCTACAGTGAGACCAGGGTCCTGGTCATTGAACAAAATGATCTATTAGAACGGGGTGCCAGTGGCTCACACTTATAATCCTAGCTACTCAAGAGGCTGAGATCTGAGAATTTCCATTTAAAGCCAGCTTGAGCAGGAAAGTCTATGAGACCTTTATCTCCAATTAACCACAAAAAGCCAGAAGTGGAGCTGTGGGTCAAGTGGTAGCATGCTAGCCTTGAGCTTAAAAGCTCAGGGACAGAGCAGGACCAACACACATGCAAAAAAGATCTGCTATTTTCCTCTTACCTTTCTTTTCTCTCCCTTCTTTCCTTTTCCTTCTTTCCTTCCTCTCTTCCTTCCTTCCCTTCTTATTTACTTACTTTCTTCCCCGGTTTTTAAGCTAGTTTTTGTTATATAGTCCAGGCTACTCTCAAACTTTCTGTCCTTCTGCCTCAGACTCCCTAGTGCTAGGATTAAAGGCATTCACTACCAATCATTAACAGGAATTGTGATGGTTAATCTTGATTTTCTACTTGACTAGATTGAGATGCAGAAGAGAGATTGGTAAAGTACACCTCTAGGTAGTTCTATAAGGATTAACTGGAAAGGGCCGATTCACTCTGAAAGTGGGTCCCATTCCCATACTTTGAGCACCCAGATAGAATACAAGGCCCTACTGCCCTCATGTACTGCCCAGAAGCATGGAGCCAAGTGAACATGTAGGAAAGCCTCTGAAACCATGGACCAAAGTAAATCCTTCCTTCCTTGAAGAGATGCAAAAGAAATAAACATAGATGCCAGATACTCTGGCTACTCAAGAGACTGAGATCTGCCTGAGCAGGAAAGTCCATGAGATTCTACCTTCAATGAACCACCAAGAAAGCCAGGAGTAGAGGTATGGCTCAAATGGTAGAGTGCTAACTTTGAGCCAAAATGCTAAGGGACAGCGCCAAGGACCTAAGTTCAACCTTTTCCTACCCCCCCCCCCCCATCCTGGCAAAAACAAAAACCAAAACCCACAGTGATTCAGGACATAAAGGTTTGGCTGAAAGATGTGACAATACAAAGGAGCATACTCTCTTTTTCAACTCCAAAAGGAGCCTGGGAGGTCAGGATACTCTGAGTGAGAAGACAGAGTCTCAATTGTCATGCTACATTCAAAGAATCTCCCTTTCTGTTTCTGGGGACCACAGCAAGTATGCTGACTGCCCACATCAGCTGGGACACAAGCCAGCCTGAAGGCACACTGTATATACTGTTCTGAAAATGGATGTGTCAAAGAACTGAGGTTTCAGAGTCTTTCCCACAATTCAGAAATTTCAAAGGTAATGTTCTGCAGTTCAGGGGATTCGGTAAAGAGGCAACAGCACTGTTGTCAAGAAACTTATTTCAAACCAGGTGAAGGGTAAAGGAATTAGAGAAGCCTGTTGTTCTCTACCGGAATTAACATGTAAGGATTAAGCAAAGTCTCTAAAGAAGCATTAAGCAAGAAGTGTTTTCTGTGTCATTCTCTAAGGACACTGATCTGTTCCTGAGCTCAGGTTGGGGTGGGGCATGCTCAGATTCATTTCATACAGTCAGTTCCCTTCTTCAATGCTCACTTCCATCAGAACAAGCAAATAATTGGCCTTATCCACCACTGAGGCAGATATTTCTAAATCTACCAGAACCTTCTTTCTTACTAAGTTTTCAGATCCAGAACTCCCAGATAAGCAATCCAACTGAGGATGGCCTGATACTCCCAGAGTCTCTCTCACCCCTGTGTTTTCAGTGCAATGAACCACACTGCATAGAATCTCAGAGGATCAGAAGTAGAGAAAAACCAGGTGCTAGGGGCTCACACCTATAATCTGAACTAACCAAATGGCTGAGACCTGATGATTGAGGTTTGAAGCCAGTCTGGGCAGAAAAAGTATGTGAGACATTTCTCTCCAATTAACCACCAAAAAACCAAAAGTGAATCTGTGGCTCAAATAATAGAGTGCCAGTTAAGGGACAGACCGGCCTTCAAGCCCTGGTACTGGTACAAAAAGGGGGGAGGGATGTAGAAGCTATAGAACTCCTTACTCAAACCATTAACTTTAAAGCCCAAGACTCAGAGGGCCACCTAAGGAAAGACTGAAGTCAGTCATTCAGGTAACATTTAGCGAGCCTCTTATGTGTTAGGGACTGTTCTGAACCTGGGAGCTATCATGGACTTCTTACTGGTCACTTCACATGCAAATGAGGGAGACAGCAAGAATGTAAGCAAACCTGGAAGCATCCTCCCTGTAGCTGTAATTACTACAGTAATGCCATAGAAAGTACGGAGGTCATGGTGGTCAGGAAGTTTTGCCCTTGGGCCACAATGCAGAGCTAAGAGCAGAAGGAAGCAAAGGAGCTAGAAATGGGAAGTACATACCTAGCAGAGGGCACAAAGAAGCAAAGGTGAGGAGGTGGGAATGAATTTAGCAGATGTGAAGAACAGCAAGGTCAGTGTAGCTGAAGCTCACAGAGAAAGAGGGACAAGGGTCACATCCAGCAGGGTCTGGGAGGTTAGATTTAAAGTGCATGCAATACTGCCTGCTATTCCTGATAGCGTGGTTCCTCTTTTCAAACATTTACAGTGCCAAGCTCTACTGTACCCCAAGATGAGAGCTACTATTTATTGAACAATAATGACATACTGGGCCCTGAGCCAGACAACTTACATATATCAACAGAGCTGATGTGAACAGAACTGTCTTCTTCCTCATTTGTAGACAACTTCCTGCTGGTAATGGCAAATTTAATTGGATATTCTGTATTTTTCTTTTTTGTTTGTCTCTGTTTCTGTTGAGACCCTTCTCCATAGGTGACTTAGTCTAGTCTTTTTTTTGTTTTGTTTTGTTTTTGTTTTTTGGGGGGGGGGGGTCCGGTCATGAGGCCTGAACACTGGGCCTGGGCGCTGTCCCTCAGCTCTTCAGCTCAAGGCTAGCACTCTACCACTTGAGCCACAGCGCCACTTCCGGCTTTTTTCTTTTTGCTTATGTGGTGCTGAGGAATCGAACCCAGGGCCTCATGCATGCAAGGCAAGCGCTCTACCACTGAGCCATCTTCCCAGCCCCTTAGTCTAGTCTTGAACTCACAATCTTCCTGCCTCAGCCTCTTGAGTTACAGACGTGAACTATATATACCACATCTACTGTGCCCTGTATTCAGCTGCATCCTGTATTTTCTTTTATTAAACCTGGAAAATTTTACTTGTACAACAGCTTCATTCATTCATTCATTGAGGTATTTGTCTATTCACTGATTCATTAATTTATAATATTTTATCTGTGGCTGTGTATCAGACAATGGACATGCCCAGACCAGTAACATGAAAGTGTTCTATTGGGTTCTCAAAGAATTGGTGGAGTGTCATGTAAAATGCGAACCCTCAATTTACACTATTATGTGAATCAGATCCCCATGGAAGAGGCAATAACCAGGGCCCCAGAGAAGGAGGAGCATGTCTTCTGACTGGCTTCAGAAGCTTCGCAGTACATCAGTGAAATCTTACCAGTCTCAGTTCCCCCTTTGGTCCCCTTTGGGACACAGATCTTCTGGAAGGGAAGGATGATAGAGCAAACTGGCCTGGAGAATCTCTAGAATGCCTGTCCTCTCCTGTTCAGTCTGCAGAAGGGAATGTGTTGGCCACTGAAGGTTCTAGAGAAGGGCTGTCACTAGTTCATTCACTCAGTCCCCTGCAACAAGTACCCACTCTGCCCCAGATACTAGTGCCAAGAACAGGTAGTGAATAGGACTGATAGGTACAGAAGAAAAGGTTAAGGATTAAAATGCATGAAAATTTCAAATGACAAGTAGGTGTTCCTGATTTAATAAGTGAAAATGCAGGATATAGCCAGGCACAGTAGCAGTTGCAGGTCCCGCCACAGCTCATAACTGTAACTCAAGAGGAGGCAGGAGAATCCTGAGTTCAAGGCCAGCCTAGGCTACAAATCAAGTAGGGTCTCAAAACAAAAACAAACAAAAAGAAAAATATAGGATGTACAATTAAATTTGAATTTCAGGTAAATAATAAATGCTTCTTTCAGCTTTAACTATGCCCTAAATATTGCACAGGACATTTTTTAACATATATATATATATATATATATATATATATATATATATACACATATATATGTGTGTGTGTGTGTGTGTGTGTGTGTGTGTGTGTGTGTGTGTGTGTATTCCAATCCTAGGACTTTTTTTTAAAGTTCAATATTATCCTTTGTTTATCTAAAGTTTAAACTTAGCCGGGCATCTCATATTTCATCTGGCAATCCTGACTGCAAGTCTTCTTAGGAGACCCCAAGGTTAGGTAGGAATTTATAAAGATGGGCCCTGAAAATTCTGTTTACGATTTCACATTTCAACAGTACAGTGATTGTAACCATTCCCCAGGGTTTTGAAGGCACTGATGGCTAAAAGTATGACTAAGTGTGAGTTCAGGGACAATTCAGACTCCAGTCCAAGTCTCCCTTTCTTTCTTCTATGGTAATGTCCAACATAATTGACAAACAGCAATTTCCAGTTACTGCTTATCAGCAGGGAGTGTCCTGCTTACAGCCAAGAATTAAGAGTTCTTCAGGAAGACAGAGCAAACAACATGCAAATGCCAAATACACAGGGCTTACAACCTTCAATGACTTCACCTCCCTGACTGAGTCACAGCCAGGAAGAGCCTCTCCCCTACACCCCTTCAGCCCCCCAACTGAAGCTTCCAGGGAAGTCAGGAGGTGTGGCTGCCTCACCCAACTGTGGAAATTGAACAGGAAGCATCAATGCCATCTGTGAGCAGAGAGGCTCAGCAAACTGTTAGCTTGAATCTTTCAGAATAGAGGACTTGCCTAAGATCCTCAATCCCATAATGTCAAGTCTATAAAAGCTTTTGCTCATTGTTTTTCCACAAGCAGAATCTAAACCAAAAAATACCCAAAAGTACATTTAACACAGATCTGATACTACATTTTTCACTTAGAAAAGACTCAATAACAACAATCACAAAATAGCAATAAGGGTTAGGAATTGCTAATGGGAGCCATTACAATGGTTGAGGAAAACATAAATCAGAAATTATTCTCTTGTTCAATGTTTTATAATGTTGTGAAGTTACTATTATCACTCTTTTAGGAAATAAGGAAATAAGCTTAGGAAATAAAACAGACCAGCTAAATGATTTACCAAGGCCATAATCTTAGAAAGTAACAATTCCCACCCAAATCTGACCTCAAAGCCTAAGTTCTTAAGGCCTGCTGTTCAAACAGAAATGACTTTTACTAAATGATACTCAGTACATGCCCTCACTTTGTAGATAAGGAGGAAGGACAATAGAGGGTTAAGATCATGGTCCCGAGTTCAGAGTCCTGGGTTCAAACTTCTTCTCTGCTACTTTCCATATATGTGACCCTGAGTAAGTTATTTGACCTTTCTGAGTTTCAGTTTCATCATCTATGTCTTATAGATGTCTATGGCTTAGAGATAAGAAGAGTTATGACATGACTGCTATGAAATTGAAATGAGACTCCCAACTAGTTGAACAAGTCCTTCTGAAAGCCTAGAGTGGAGAGCCATTGCCTCCAGACCTGGATGTCAAAAGGGAAAAGCAGAGAAGGACTAACCCCACAGAAGAGTCTGCCTAGTGTGTTTCCAAGGAGCCCTAGTCTTGTTTGAATCCTCATTTGAATTACAGGTGTGAAGTCTTAGCTTGGCCCTAAAATCCATTGGCATTGGGCAATCTCCTTCTCCAGATTTCCTGAATCTAGTTCCTGAACTATTAAATAAGGCAATTGGATAAGATTGCTCTGAAGCCCCCTCTAATACCTCTTTTTAATCTTAAGATTCTTAATTTGAAAAGTTAGAAGGTTAGAGGAAAACCACAAAATGCCAAGGGGCCAGATCTTGAAAATGGCTGAACATAGCCTCCTATACTGGGCAGTGCAGCCATAAAATAAATCTGTGTGGGCCCTGATATTACAAACAAACATTCTTATGAATGAGAGAGAGGTTTAAGGAAACTATTGCAAAATTACTTGACTGTGGGGCTTTTTTATGCTGTGTTTAATTACCACCTGCATTGTGGCAGACATTGTGCTAGATCCTAGGATAAATGCTTGATGAATTAGAATAGTCTTTGGCTCCAAGACTTATTTTGCTCAATGGTTTTATGAAGGGGACAATGTCGGGGTAGCCATAACATGTTGCCTCTCTGAGGAAGTGACTTTTTTTTTTTTTTTGTCGGTCATGGGGCTTGAGCTCTGGGCCTGGGCGCTGTCCCTCAGCTCTTCAGCTCAAGATTAGCGTTCTACCAGTTGAGCCACAGCACCACTTCTGGCTTTTTCTGTTTATATGGTGCTGAGCCAGGGCCTCATGCATACAAGGCAAGTGCTCTATTACTGAGCCACCTTCCCAACCCATGAGGAAGTGACTTTTAAACTAAGGTTTGAAAGTTGAGTAGAAATTGGCCTAGATGGAGGACTACATTGTAGTTTGTATTACAGTCTTTAAATGTCTAGAAAGGGGAAGTGATCTTTGCCAGAACCGCTGAAAGAATCTCACGCTCTGCTGGATTCTTCGAAGTAAGGTGACAAATGTTTAATCAAGTGTTTAATGTTAGCATTTCTAGGACTGAGACATGAATGCAAACCACGAAGAAAAATTTAACTGTGAAGAACCACCTACCAAGCCCAAATGGAGGGATACTGATACATATTTGTTCAGTATCCTTCTAATATGTCAGCCTTACAGGAAACAATAAAAACAAAGGCAGACTGAGGAGCCAGGTACTGGTGGCCCACATCTGTAATCCTAGCTACACAGGAGATCTCAGGATCTGAGGCCCGCAATTCAAATCCAGCCTGGGCAGGAGAGTCTGAGAAACTTTTACCTCCACTAGAAAAGCAGTGGCTCAGTGGTAGAACACTTGCCTTGACCAAAAAAGCTTAGGGACAAGCTCCAGGCCTGAAGTTCAAGCCCTAGGACCAGCACCAAAAAAGCAAAAAAGGGAGAGAGAGACAGAGACACTAAGGAATTGTTTTCGATTTTAGTGGACTACAGAGACAGGGCATAGGTACAGATGAGATAACTAACTGGCAAACATTGAACATGAGCTGTTAATTGATAGTGCTGTATCAATGTGACACCTGCTGAATTGGATCACAAAACTGTGGCTATGTAAGAAATGTCTGGTTCTAGAAATAGAGTGAAATGCTTAGCGACCAAAGGGCACAGTGATGGCAACTTCATCTCAAGGGGTCATAAAAATGAAGAAAATAGAAATGGCAAGATGCTAAGGATTGGTGAATTTAGATGGAAAATACATAGTTCGTTGTACAATTCTAAGCTCTTATTAGTTTTAATTTTCTGTCTAAATACGAAGTTATAAATAAGCCAGGTGCCAGTGGCTTGTAATCTGTGCTACTGAGGAGGCTGAAATCTGAGGACTGAGGTTAAAGCCAGCCCGGGCAGAAAAGTCTGTGAGATGCTTATTTACAATTAATCACTAAAACAACACTAGAAGTAGAGCTGTGGCTCTAGAGTGCAGTCTTGAGTGAAAATGCCAAGGGAGAGCATCCCTGAGTTCAACCCAGTACCAACACCAAAAGGAAAGGCAGAAAGAAAGCAGGAAGGAAGGAAGGAAGAGGGGCTGGGAAGGTAGAGTGGTAGGGTGCTTGCCTTGCATGCATGAGGCCCTGGGTTCGATTCCTCAGCACCACATAAGCAAAAAGAAAAAAACTGGAAGTGGCACTGTGGCTCAAGTGGTAGAGCACTAGCCTTGAGCTGAATTGCTGAGGGACAGCGCCCAGGCCCAGAGTTCAGGCCCCACGATCAGACCCAAAAAGAAAGAAAGAAAGAAAGAAAGAGAGAAAGAGAGAGAGAGAGAGAGAAGGAGGGAGGGAGAGAGGGAGGGAGGGAGAGAGGGAGGGAGGGAGGGAGGGAAAAAGGAAGGAAGGAAGGAAGGAAGGAAGGAAGGAAGGAAGGAAGGAAGGAAGGAAGGAAGGAAGGAAGGAAGGAAGTAGGCTAAATAAGCTAGATGCCAGTGGCTTGTCCCTGCAATGTTAGCTACTCAGAAGACCTGGTGGATCCTGATTGAAAGCCAATCCAGGCAGAAAAGTCTGTGTGAGAGTCATCTCCAATTAACTAACAAAATGCCAGCGTGGATGCATGGCTCAAATGATAGAGTACCAGTCAAGAACAGCAGCTCCCCAGCACACTTTTACCCCAGAACCTAGGGGAAAAACACCTCACTGCACTTTCTTATGTGGGAAAGAGAGTACCTCTTCAGTGTTGAGAACATTGGCGATCTTTTTAGAATGTGCGACATGGCCCACGACACCCATGTCCAGAGGGAAGACAATTTCTGAGTCAGGCATCACCAGACAGTCTTCAAGAACAGCATCCTTGTGTACATTGAAGAGCCGGGTGGCTAGCTCTGCGGTGCCATTGCGGGCCCTGTACATAAACAGGCTCATACGGTCTGCCCGCAGGAGAAAGGAGAGTTTCTTCATGACATTGAAGGCGGACTTCTCAGCCTGCAAATTCTCCTGGAAGTCCCTCAGGAGATCAAAGATGATTTCACTCTCCTCCACACTGCTCAGGGAGTGGTAGTTGCTGAAGTCCACAGCTGCTTCCTTGGCCCCCAGAAGGTCTGAGATGACCTTGGCCCGGTATCGGAGATTATAATACTGTTTGGCAAAGCCAATATGTGAGTCCAAGAATTTCTCTACTTCTTCTGCTGTCACCTCACCCATGGCTGGGAATCCTTCTGGATGCTTTCGTGGAGGGGCTGTGACTGAAGCCTTCTAAGAGCAATTTGGCAGTTTGTAGCTGGTTGTGTCCAAATTTATGCTCTGCTCCAATCTGGACTTCTCTGGGTCTTGTCTGTAAATCTCAGTGAGAAGGCTGTACAGGGCAGGAGTGAACTAGGGAGATTAAGTCATTAATATTTTCCCTAGAACAAGGATTATGAGGATCAGGGCATGCCAGATGCAGTTGGGCCCCCAATGGGAGAATGTGAGTCTCCCCTCTTCACCTTGGTCTCTGAGACCTGAGAAGGGACTTTTGCACTGAATAGAAGGTGGATTTAAACACCACTCTAACAGAGGGTCCAACCTGCAGCCCAGGAGCAACCTACTACCAGTAGCTGCATGCTTTCTGCCCTCTATGGTCATTGCATGAACCTGAGCACTGAAGTTCCACACTAATTAGGAGATTTGTTTGGTGAATCAGAAGCTCTAACAACTCTGTCTATATTTCCATAGTATTTGCAGGAATGGGTGGAATTGAGAGATTCCAGCCAGCTTCCTTTCCACTGCTAACTACTGACCTCCTCCCCCAAAGCCTTCAATTTTGCTCCACCATCAACCACCACTCCACCCTTTCCCCCCTGTGTTTATTATGGGCCTGGCACCTCTTAGCTCAGATTTCATAACTTCCAGACAAAAGTGTCTCTCAGCTTTAGCTTTCAAGGACTATCTAATTTTAGCATTCTTAGGACACTTATAAAAAAACAACCTACCTTTCAGAGTTCTTTTATTACCAAAGTAACACATGTTCTTCACAGAAAATAACACAGTGAAGGCAATTAAAGTCACCCATAATCTGACTTCTCAGAGATAGCTTCTAGTTGACATTTTAGTCACTATTCTTTTCACACTGCTTATTGTTAAAATCTATTAACCTTAAACCTCTGGATCTTTCCCTTAGAGCTTTAATGTACTTTTCTGGCTCCAGCCTGCATCCTCCAGGGGGTGTCTATTGGAAATACATGCAGTGGTCCACCAGTGATCAACTCCGAGTCCCAAAATATCAGAATCTTCACTGAATACCCCTCCTGCACACCGGGGAGGTAGAATAAGCATTTTTCCATTAGGATGAAGTCCCCATTAGCCTCTGTGACTTCTATATGCAGTAAGCATTGGCATCTCTGCCTTGTAAACATTATGGGAATGCCTGATTATGAACAGGTCTTGGCACTATGAACTTCATAAAGAAAGTTAATTAGGAAGTCAACTCTGTCCTCTGTTGTAAAGTATAATAAATTCTTGGGGCACTGAACCCATTCAGCACTATGTACAAAGGTACTCCCTCACACATACCCAGTGGGGAACATTATGATCTAACACCACAGATTGGTTTTGCAGGGTTTTGAAGTCAACATTATTTTGTGATATTCATCTATATTATTATGTATAGTGTTCTGTGGTATTCTACTGGAGAAATAAAACACAATTTATTTATCCTTTTCTCTCTCTCTCTCTTTTTTTTCTGGTCCTCAGGTTTGCACTCTGGGCCTGGTCATTTCTTTTCACTCAATGCTAGTACACTTTTCACTCAATGCTAGTACACTTCCACTTGAGCCACAGCTCCACTTTTGGCTTTTTGTTAGAAATAAGAGTATCACAGACTTTTCTGTCCATGCTGGCTTCAAACCATGATCCTCAGATTTCAGCCTCAGGAATAGCTAGAATTATAGTCTTGAGCTACAGCAAATTAACCAGCAAAAAGCCAGGAGTGGAGGTGTGACTCAAGTGATAGAGCACCAGCCCTGAATGATAAAGCTAAGTGAGAACTGAAATCGCGAGGCCCTGAGATATATGATATATATCATAAGAATATAATTATATGTCATATATTATGTTATGATATATATCACTGATATCAGTATATACATATATAGCTATATATGTATTATATATAACTATATTGATATATGATGTATACTTATATATGGATATATATCATATGTGTCATATATCTCTTATTAGTGAAAATACCTACAAATGAAATCCCAAGCTCAAAACCTAAGGGTTTTAATAAATTGCTAATTCTGTCTCCAAGGCTACACCATAGTACATGAAAACACCTGTCCCCATCTTTTAACACCAGTCTGTTGCCTATTAATTTTTTTTGTTATGTTTTGTTTTGGTTTTGCCATTCTTGGGCCTTAAACTCTGGGCCTGGGCAGTATCCCTAAACTCCTTTTGCTCAAGGCTAACACTCTACCACTTGAGCCACAGCACCACTTCTGGTTTCTTCTTTGATCAATTGGAGATAAGAGTCTCACAAATTTTTCTGCCTGCATTGGCTTTGAACTATGATCCTCAGATCTCAGCCTCTTGAGTAGCTAGCATTACAGGCGTGAGCCACCAGCGCCTGTCTTAAATTAAGAATTTTTTTTTAAAAAAAAAACACTGATATTAACAGCTCTCCAGAATTTTACCCCTTTATTTTACTTTTTATTATTTGTTTTCCTCAATTTCCCTATACATACATATTCTAATTTCCACTCCAATATTTTTCATTTTTGGATTTTGCATCTGTTCTTATTGGGCCTTCCCATATTCTTTACCACCTCTGGCTGATCCACATAATTATCATAGATTCTAACTAAATACCTCTCCTTCTTGGAATGTCCACAATATTGGTTTCTTCCCTTTCAATGAAATTTCTCAGGTTCTGTGGCTACAGAAGTAAAAATATAGCCATTATATTACTGTTTTGTTTTCTGTTTTTTAAAAATGGGAGCCTCACTTTTTCCAGGCTGGCCTCTAACTCCTGAGTTCAAGTGACCTTCCTGACTTTAACATTTCAATTAAATGAGATTGCTCACATGTGCCACCAGGCCTATTTCATTCTAGAAAACAGAAATGTTACAGGTCCTTTTTCATATTTTGCCCACTGAGTTTGGTTCTGATGAAGAAAACTAGCAACTGTTTTGAAGAAGGGTCTACTTGTGCCTCACTTTTCAATATGCCAAGATTAGGAAGGCAAGACTGTTGAAAAGCTTAGGCTTTGATGTGGTGGGGTTGAAGTGCAGTCTTGTGAAGGGGTAATGAGATCCTAGGCTCCACCATCTGGAATGGATTAATGCTGCCTCCAGAGAAAACAGCTCTTCCAGGACTAAAGAGTTTCTGTGAGATTGCAAGCCTGGAAGGTCCTGTATCCCAGAATCCTCTTTCCCATGCTTTCTCCATGTGATGCCATCTAACATGAAGCCCCTGCCAGAGCCAAGGATGCCAGCTGCAGGCTCTTAGAGCTCTTGATGTGAACCACCTACATTTTTGGGGGGGGAGGGGTCCGGTCGTGGGGCCTGAACTCTGGGCCTGGGCACTGTCCCTCAGCTCTTCAGCTCAAGGCTAGTGCTCTACCACTTGAGCCACAGTGCCACTTCTGGCTTTTTTCTTTTTGCTTATGTAGTGCTGAGGAATCGAACCCAGGGCCTCAGGCATGGAAGACAAGTGCTCTACCACTGAGCCACCTTCCCAGCTCCCAACCACCTACATTTTTGTTTTACTTTATCTTATTATTATGGTAAAGGTAATGTATAGAGGAGTTACAGTTACATAAGTCAGGTAATGAGTACATTTCCTTTTGAACAGTGTCACCTCTTTCCTCATTTTCTCTCAGTTTTTCCCTCCCAGCCCTCCTCCTCCACATCATTTTAACATAGATCTAGTGAGTATCACTGCTGCATTTGTTGACCTTTTGTCCCACCATTTCTGTGTGCCCCTTTATCCTCCCCAAAACAGATAAACTTGCATACAATAAAAAAGATACAGAAATCCAAAATAACAACAAAGGGAAAAACAAAACAACAACAAGCAAAATAACAAAATTTCTTGTTTGCATTTCTTGGAGTTCATTTTGATAAACACCATTTTATTGGATGATATGTCTATAGCTATTGGACTTTCGTGATACTCTCCTAAGAATACGTTCCTTTGAACTCACTGTATGAATATCTAGTCTTGTATAATTTATCATGTCTAAGTATACTTTTTTGTTTTTTATCATCCAGTGTGCTTACATGTAGATTTAGAGGCACTTTCTAGTTACAATAAATGAGAGAAACCATGCAACCTATGTTTCTTTGGGTCTGACTTACTTCACAGGACAGAGATTAGATTATTATAAAAAGAATATGTTGGACACAGTGACAAACATTTGAAATCCTAGCACTCAGGACACAAGGGGATTTTCAAGTTCAAGAGTAGCCTGGACTACATAGAAAGACTTTGTCTCAAGAAAAAGAAAAAAGAGGAGGAAGAGGAGGAGGAGGAAGAGAATACTTAGAAAACTTAAAAAGTAGAGATTGGAACCAAGCACTGGAGGCTCACACCCATAATCCTAGTTTGTTAGGAGGCAAAAGTCTGAGGATTACAATTCAAATCCAATCCAGGGAGGAAAGTCTGTGAGACTCTTATCTCCTATTAACCACAAAAAGCCAGAAGTGGAGCTGTGGCTTTTTTTTTTTTTGCCTTGAGCAAAATCTCAGGGACAGCATCCAGGCCCTAAATTCAATGCCTCAGGACAAGCACACACACACACACACACACACACACACACACACACACACACACACACACACACACACACACACACACACACACTTCCCATCCAGGTGACTTTGTGTCCTATGAGCCTCAGTTTCCCCATTGCAAAAAATGGAGAATAATAATAATACTTTTATTTTCCAGTATACTTATAGTTAAGACAAGGGACTGAGTCTGGGTTGTTACCTGCTATATATGTACCTTAATCTTTCCTGGACCTAACTTTATTTATTTGTAAATTACTGTATTGTGGTGATTAAAGAGGGTAATGGAGGAGCTGGGAAGGTGGGTCAGTGGTAGAATGTTTGCCTTGCATGCATGAGGCCCTGGGTTCAATTCCTCAGCACCATATAAGCAGAAAAATCAAGAAGTGGCACTGTGGCTCAAGTGGTAGAGCACTAGCCTTGAGCTGAAGAGCTTAGGGATAGCACACAGGACCATAGTTCAGGCCCCAATACCGACCAAAAAAAAGAGCGTAATGCAGTGTACAATGCAGAACTGTGCACCTACTGGACATTAAATGAAATCATACAAAAAGTGTCCATGATAGCTGGG